CAAAAACAATAACTTACGTATTATAATTTCAAACATTAGCTAGCACGCATAAAGGACGAACAAAGTACGATTTTGGGATAAAATTTAAGCTAGCTAGCATATAGTAATTCGATGGATTATTTGATTATTTAAAATTTGAGGTCAAGAGGAAATTAATACGATGTACTTTGTACATCCGTATATGATACTCCATATAATACAAGTGGTTGCTGTTGAGCTTTAAAAAAGGAGTTTTTTTTTTAATTAATTATTTTTATTTAAGGCGAATTAGGAGGCGAAGAAATTGCTGAAAACAAGTTAAATTACACGTAAATTTATATAAACCTCCGTATAATGGCCGTACCAAATCCAAATAATGGTACTACCATACGTAGATGTACATATCACTGCATGTGATTGAAAGACCTAGTTCACATGGAAAATTTGTTAATGTGGCATTAATTACGGAATATACATGAAATTATTATGAATTGTAGTTTTATTTTTATTTTTTTATGAGCTAGAAAGCATATTATAAATTGTTAAAAGATAATTAAGCATGTTGTTTACGTTATCAATGATGTCGCAGGTGATTAATTTTTTTAATAAAGCTAATCATAAGTTGATTCCTAATTAAGTCTAAAGTATTCTTATACAAGTTGACAATTCTTTTTAGTTTGACTTTAGACTCTAATTAAAGTAATTATATTCTTTAAGTGACGGCTAATCAATAATTTAAAGTATATTATACGTAGATAATGTAAGCTTTGTCAGATTAGTCTTGTTAACAATGTCCTTTAGGATGTACTTTGTAGATTATTAGTTGGATTGGAAAATTTGGTGCTTAATTATATGCTTGATTAGCGGCAATCTTGTAATTAGGTTTTAATTGATTCACCACTACTGTATTCTTGTTGAAAGCATGCATGCAAGTTGTACATAATGTGCAACGATGCTTTTGACAAATTTTACATGATGCACCAACATATCTTTATTACACGATCAACGTAAATTAAGTTATAGAGTTAGAGTTGTGCAACCTGACTAGTGTATGTATGGATTTACAAATTAGCAAGTAAGATATACCGTAATTGTTTGAAATTTCATCTCCGATGAAACATGTATTGCTTACTATGAACATATTAATTATTATATCCAATTTCGTGCAATGGAATTAACAATTTCATTCATTGAAAAATAGTTCCCGTTATTCTCCACTTCTTCGCAAACAACTTAGTTATGAGTTATTATTCTTAAGGCACACTCGTCGTACGTACTCTTGAATTCTTGATCACTAATTAAGCATATGTTCATATGACAGATGAAACATAATTATTCAATAATTTTAGAGCAATATAATTGATTCACGTATGTGAATGCGTCATTATCAACATAATAATAGTGGGAAAAACATTTGGTACGCTCTTAAGGTGAAAGGTCCCCCTTCACATGACCAACGTCTCATTAGTCACATACACTTAAACGGTTTAGATGGCGGAAGAGATAAAGACGTGCGTAAGAGTTTTATTTAGGAATATTAATAAATGGAACTTGGAATATTTTTTATTTTTTTATTATTATTTGAAGAAATTTCCAAAACTTTTAGAAAAGTGCTGACCTCAACTAGTAAAATCTTATCTCAACTCTTTGATCGATCTTCTCATAAAATACTTTGGTTGTTTTCTCGAATTTTTAATGACCTTTAACTAGTAATCTTATCTTTTGTTTCTCATCTCTTTTTCTAGATGTGCACATAAAATGGTAAAATTTTGTGACCATGAATTGTGGGAACAAATTCTGCTATAAGCTAGCCCATTACTTAATTGGACTAATCATCTCGGTATAATAATAATTAAAGTGAAATGCTGGTGAAATTTGAGAAATGATTTTGGTACATCAAAATTTATTTTGGCACACTCTTATATGAGAGTACTATTATCTATGCTAATCTTATATAGGGGTTTGTCTAAATCAATTTATGGTGTGCCAAAATTACTTTCCCGATATTCAGTGAAAGTTTTGGGATTAGGCACAGAAAGTGTCGCAGAATATATACTTTCTAAAATGGCAAAAGATAAGCCTAAACATCACAAACAAACAATTTTAAAACTCAAATATCGCCAATTTTTTTTTTTTTTTTTTTTTTTTTTATTATAAATGGTTATAGTGTGAAAAGTCAAAATATTCGTCGGTGGAGGAAGAAGCAAGGAAATAATTAGATGAATAGAAACATGAAGGCATTATATTGAATGTGTAAATCAGGAGTACAAATACTGTCAGAGGAGAAAATCAATTAAGTAGGTTGCCATAATATTGCTGAGTGTCTAACTAAAAAGAGGGAACCAAATATGACATGATCTTTTGAATAGTCTGCCTGGGCTGGCAACAAGGTTCTTAAAGGGGGGAAATTTCGGTTCAAATGACCTAATATGGGTTTTGGGCCCTCTTAATTATTGTGTTTGTGTTTCTCTTTCTCCAACTTCATATAAATAATAATTGTACAAGCATGAATTATTTTTCTTAAACTGAAGAGTAATTCTTGACAATTGAAAATCAATTAGTTTAATCATTTTGTTAGACAGTATGTTAAATGAGATGGTCTTATATTGTCAACCATATATTTCAACTTTAATATAGAGATGAATGACATACAAAAATAGTATAATAAATCTGGCTCAAAATATTGAATCTTGGAGACGGGTTCATGAGTTGAGGATAGACGTAATTTAATAAGCATACGCGAGATACTAAGCATTTGCTCGTTAGTCTCAATTAAGAGATGATCAAAATTATCACATATACAAGCATGAGTTTCTCGCTTTCTCTAAAGTTGATCCTTTAATTCTCAAAACAACCCACCTCCAAACTATGACTTGCAAAAAAGTATGAGAAGTTGAGAAATAAACACGATGACAAGATTTTGACCAATATGTATGCGATATTATGAAGCATCATCAAAGATTTCACAGTACCAATTGCTAAGTCATTGTCAAACGCATTCATTCACTTAGATAGATAATGTTAAGGTAAGGGGACCATTTCAACTTATAAAACATGCAAATTCTAATTCTTGCTTTGTCCATAAAACATAATTAAAATGAAAAGTAATTTTGCATGCTTACAAACGTACATTAAAGAAGAAAAAATAAATTATTGTGTCAACTTTACGCTACTTCATGAAAATAACTCTTCTACGAAGTAAATTTAGACACCCATTTTTTGTGTCTATATAGTTTTTTTTTTTTTTTAGCTCTTGCGTAAAGTGCAAAGGCAAAGTACTATAGTACTTTGGAGCCTTTTCTTATCCAAAGATTCCAACCTCAAAAATTTAACGAGGGACTAAAGTTAGCATAACCATAGCCCAACTGCCACAACTACCAATTTAACTACCCCAAATTTAAATAAAAAGTATTGATTCTAAAGGAGAGCCAAATTTTTTCTTTTTTCTTTTTAAGGACAAATTTGTGGAGAATCAAGAAGATGTAGCAATGACCTTATTGTTTTTGTCTATTATGATTACAAGGAAAAAAAAAAAAAAAAGTGTGGGAATTTTATTTAAGTGTGATAATGATTACGAAGCAGTTAATTAGATGGTAATGTTCAAAATATATTAGGTTAAGATCTTAATCAACTCAACTTTATTATAAAAAAATGTAATCATATCAAATCAACAAACAATTAACGATTGGAAGTAATGGACCTATCCATGCTGAAGAAGGGTTAGTTTCGAGTTTTCGACCTTGAGCAAATTCTTCCAATCCACACATAATTTGCATATATACATATAAATTTGTGAATGTATAAATGAGTTATATATTTTCAAAGAGTGATTGTATTGATTAATGGTCACACAAGAAGACCACCACATTCAGAAGAATTAAAGAGTGCATCCATGAATTATCACCATACACCTCACCCCTCTATTGAATGCTATCAAATTTGATGTCTTTAAGAACCAAATTCGTTAGTTTGGCGTCCAAAATATGAAATTCGAAAACCCGATATTAATATCCATATAAGGTGCAACAAATTAGGTTTTAGGGTGCGAGGAATTTATTGAAAGGACTTTGTAGAGGTCACCAGCATCTAACTAGTTAGGGAGGTGATTTGAGAGTGACAATCAAATCGCATTTTCGTGTATAAGATTTTGTTCTTGCATCATTTATGAGGTTGCTATGTTGCATGGCCACACATTTTAAAAATATATCTAGATTCTAAGATAATATAACAAACATAGGTAACAAATTGCATGGGCACTAAAGATTTATGTACCTAAATTATGTGGTTGTTGTGCCAAAATCGTCGGTTATATTCATCTAATAAATTATAGTTATATGAATGACTCGAAAAGTCGAAAGCTATAGGTTGTTTGACCAGGAAGTAGTTTTGGTTGAAGGAATGAACTTATCCATTTAGCAAAGTACTTCGTAGAATGTCAATCACTTTGTATTATTTTCATCGTTTTTTTTTAAGATTTTAATAATTCAGCTCATTCAAATTTAAGAAATAGATAGTGCAAAAGTCAAACCGTTGCAATTTCAAGAAACCAAAATTATGATCCACCCACTTATGTTAGATTCGAGTGCTAAGAAGTATTTAATCAATTAGACAATTATTTTCCTTTTTTTTCCATTTGTTCTTTCTTGAACATAACTTTGTGAGCTTAAAATCTAATTAGAATTTTGAGGAAAAAATTAAAAATAAATAACTATTACAAAATTGTTATGTGGGACAAGGATGTCATATACCTTCATACAAGTAATAGAACACATGTAAAGACTAAAGACCAAAACAAAGAATTCACCTGTTATAGTCTTATATACTTGCTTTTAGAACTTTGAAGACATAGCTAGCCATGAGAATGAAAATTCTTCCTCACGCACTTGTTGAGATATTTTTTTAGTCAGAATTTTAAATGCAATGAATATGATGCTTTGCTTTCTTCTTTGAATCCTTTGAATACTCCATACTTTTGGTCAAAACATACTAGTACAAAAGCAAAGGGAATTGCGCAAAACCAATTGAACCATTGTTAACGAGATTAGGGCCAAAACCAAGCCCACAACATTGCTCATTAACACAAATACCCATTTAGTTAATCCTGGTAAATGAGATCCAATATCCTATCAAAAGGCAACTGATTAATTCTTGAAAGCAAAGACATAATTTAATACTTGTACATAGAAGTTAAAAAAGCTTGAAAAACAACAAACAGTCGCCAAGTACAAATAAAATGGTGTCCATTTGAAGACGGTTAACTCATCTTTCAGTCTTTCCCCAAAGTTGTTCAGTACCTACGATACAAAGGTGGGGGAGGACGATGTTCAGCAGGTGTATAATACTCGGCAGGTAGTCTATCAGAAGTATAATCATAATGTTCTCTCCTTGTATCAGTGCTATATAGAGGCGCACTATAGACATGGGGTTCTCTATAAGATAGGTTGATGTCATGGTGACTGCGCCCAATTAGAAGCCTTGATTCCTGAGAGCTCGAAAGGCCTAGATCTCGATGGCCTAGGACTGATTCCCTCCTGTAAGAATCAGTTCCCAAGGTTCTATCAAAGGAATACATTCTAGAGCGCGGAGGGCTAAGCGCTGGTATAGGCTGATATGAAGTTGCTGGTGCCAAAGATGACAGATAGGTTTCCCTCTCATAAACAGGGTGTCTCTGATATCTGTCATCTAAAGCAACAGGAGCATGCCTTAATTCTTCCTGAGCCCTTCTCCCACTACGGTCATCTATGACTACAGGAGCATGCCTTACTTCTTCCCGAGCTCTTCTCCAGCTTCTGTCATCTATGACCACAGGAGCATGCCTTATTATTTCTTCATGAGCCCTTCGCCGGCTTCTGTCATCTATGACCACAGGAGCACGCCTTATTTCTTCCTGAACTCTTCGCCGGCTTCTGTTCCGCTCTACAGGAGCAGCTGCTCCTCTACGGCTATCCTCTACCCTTTTTCTCTTCTTGTCCCGCCTTGCAGATGAACTGGTGGCAACTGGTCTTCTGCTCGCACTAACTTTTTGGGATTCAGCTTTCTTCTTTGTCTCATGGAAAAGCTTACACAAGTCTTTCACCTGTTTTTTGAGGTAATGAGAGAGAAGAAATTTAGAATCAATCGCATAAGAGTGAGCAGCAATAGTCTTAATGACTGTTTAGAAATGCTTTTAGCATGAAAATGAAAAGACAATATTCAGAGACCTGTTTACTGTTCAGCTGGCAATTGAACTTGTTCTTCGTGTAGTAATTATCCTTGAGGACCTGTTTGAATCTCTCCTCTGCTAATGGCACACAATCTTCAAGGATGGAAAAACGAACCTACAAGAAGCAAAGTTCAGAAATCAGTCTCCCTTTTCTTCACCCCCCCCCCCTCCCCCTCCTTCCTCAGATCCAACAACAGGGCAAAGCCAAGTAAGGAAATATATCAGACTGCCAGCCAACACACAAATAATTTTCGTAGTGGATTTTTTTTGTCAGGAGAATGACAACCAAAGTTCCATATATACGCAAAAAGTATGGCTAGGGGACCATGATACTCAATCCATCACTGCACAATCCTTCAACCATACCATAACTATTGTTATCCAAATCTAACAAGATCAATATCCAGCAAATCTTAAATGGCGGTCAATTCATATATCCTGCTGATTAAGATTTTCAGCAGTTTAAACCATGTACCTAATGAGAAGACAGTGTGCTGGCCAGTATTACAGAAGCATGTGAAAAGGGGATTTCTAATGCATACAATAATAACCAGATAGCTCTTCCTCACACTATAATAATGATTTGAAATTTCCTAGTTCGCCTTTGTCACCAACTGGTATCTCAAATTTTGTACTGAGGCAAATTCAAAATTCAGTCATAAAAACAAACGGATACAAATCACTAATTGAAGTTGACCAGGTTCACACATATAACACAATTTAGGGCCTGTTCACATTTACTGATTGGAGCTGAACTGAATTGAGCTGAAATGAATATTTTATGAGAGAAGGAAATTAGGAGCTGAACTAAACAGAACTGAAATTAAATTGAAGTGAACAGGCCCTTAGAGGATAAATATAAGCCGCCAAAAATAACTACACGTGTAACAGATGAAGCATTCAGAAGTGATAATTATTCAATTTAGTTCAATACGGAAACATAGAATTGCTACCCAGAAACTCAAATAATACCACACTTCAAGATCTGCTTCTTTGCATGACACCTAAGCACCTAACACATCTCCAACTTCCAGTATACAAAAACTCCTTCAGGAATATTTTCCACAAAAAGTAAAGATGAAAGCAAAGTAAGAGAAGCTCGGAGTCAAACAAACCTGGGAAGGAAATTGGGACTTGAATGCCCTGGGTTCAATATTGTATCCCCCAGGATCCGCAGCCTTGTAGACTCCGTACATCATTCTAAGGTCAACATCAAACAGAAAAAGTCTCATGCCCTTGTAAATTTTCATAACCATATCTTTTTTGCCAGCAGGTAGCCCTAAAATTTTGTAGCGATAACAATCCTTTTTTGTTTCTGAACTGCACATGAATATCATCCCCATGCTATCCATTTTTTTTGATGATTTACCTTCCTTGGATGGTTTGGGCTTACTTGCATCATTGGAAACCCCATCCTGGAAGCCATTTTTAGCCACATTTTTCTTTTTACTCCTCTTTGATAGACTTACCCTATCCGCAGATTTTTCCATCTCGCCATTTTTCACATCTGGCTCATTAATTTCATTAGTCTTTTCGATCTTTTCTGACTGCAGTTTGTGAGCATCTTTCACAGTTGCTACACCTGAATTACCTAGTGGAGCCTTCTTCTTTCTAATATTGTTCCGTTTCCTATTGCTCTTCACAGCTGCTTTCACTTCAGTCTCCTCTGCATTGTTTACATGATCATTCGCGTCTGCTTTGCATGCTTCATCTGATGGGGCTTCAGTATTTACATGCTCTTTCATGTCTACTTTGCAAGCCTCACCAGAAGCATTGTTCTCATCCAAAGGTTGTGGCATTTCTTCATTTACAGCTGCAGCTTGCTTCAGCAACCTCTTCTTCTTAACCAACTTTTTCTTCACTACTTTCCTCTTTGGTCTATTGGCCTGGCCAGCGACTTCCTTGACATCATTAGTAATGCTTGCATTTTCTTCTATATTCTCTTCCTCTCCCTTATCTGAAAGAGTGCCTACAGGCTTCACTGCATCAGGTTTAATTGGTTCTTCAAGATTCTCTAGATTATCTATCATGGTTTCCTGTATTCCACGGTCAAAAGAAGACAGATCTTCAGTTTCAGTCGGCACACCTTCTGTTACCTCTAAACTCTTCCTTTCATCTCCAGTATCAGTATCATTACTGTCAGGTCCAATCTTCACTGGTGCTTCATCTTCCTCTGGCTTCTCATCATTTTTCTGTGCCTCATCTGTCACTGGCCTCCGCACCATAACCTTCCTTCTAACAACCTTTTTCTTCCCTACTTTCTTATTGGGTCTAATGACCATCCCAGTGACTTCCTTGACCTCATTAGCAATGCTTGTATTTTCTTCCACATGTTCTTCCTCCCCCTTATCTAAAAGAGTGCCTATTGGCTTCACTGTGTCAAGTTTATTTGGTTCTTCTAGATTATCTACCATGGATTCCTTTGTTCCATGGTCAAAAGAAGAAAGACCTTCAGCATCAGTAGGCAAACCTTCTCTGGTCACCTCCAAACTCTTACTTTCATCTTCCTCTGGCTTCTTATCACTATTCCCCGCTTCATCTTCTTCTGGATTTATTCTTTTCTCTTCATTGTCCTCAACATCATCAGCAGCTGCATCACTTCCATCAATCACCTCATCCACATCCTTTATTGTTCCTTCCTGTGTACAGACATCTTCAGTTCTGTTAACACTTATCTCAGTCGCAAAATTGACTTCAAGTACATTTTGATCCTTTTCTTCAAGCCAATCACTAAAAACAGATCCAGAGATCATCTCATCTATCTGTTGCTCCTCTAACGGCATTTCTATTAAAGTATCAATCTTTTCATCCTCTCCACCTAAAGGACCATCAAAAGTTTCATCAAGACTGATCTTCAAAGGCTCGGGCTCAACAGGTCCAGGTGCAAGACCCTTAGTTTTTGATCTTGATCCCTTTCCCCTGCTACCAACCATGTTAACCTGCATGGCATCAGCAAAAACCCTAGGATAAATTTTGAAACATTGATAAACCACAAAAGAAGGGACTTCTATATGGGTATTGTTCTCTTGTAGATAATCATTCCTAAAAAATGGGATACCCTCAACACAACTTCATAGAAAGCTTACAAAAATTGTGTCATTTTAACACAATAAAAGGGGTTAGGCAAAGAGCTTATAACCTATTTGGAGGGTAAGCTGTTTCACCAGAGCCCAAAATATTGTAAGAGATTATTGGGTTCGATAGTCACCTCTGCAATAAGCTTGAAAATGGAATATGTTGAAAGGGGTTTCTCGTAGCTAACTAAAAGGGCAATATTATATCATAGTGTTGCATCACCAAAAATTAATGAGCTATTACTTACCAGATAATTTTACAATCACCTAACAATCAATCAAAAATATAGTCAACCAGTTAGCCAATGTAACTAGCTGGACAAATAAGCTCTCACAAATAATCCCTTTGTCCTTGATAGATTTCCCCATGGTCCCCATATACTAAAAATGGACGTCCTTAGAAGATGGGTCCATACCTTAATCGGTAAACTTTCCTAAGGTCCCCATATACTAAAAATGGACGTCCTTAGAAGATTGCTACATACCTTAATCGGTAAACTTCCCTAATTGCAACCCAAAATGCTCTCTTTCTCTCTCTCTCTCTCTTGGATGTCCTTAGAAGATTGCTCCATACCTTAATTGGTAAACTTTCCTAATTGCAACCCAACTTGCTCTCTCTCTCTCTCTCTTGGACGTCCTTAGAAGATTGATCCATACCTTAATCGGTAAACTTTCCTAATTGCAACCCAACTTGCTCTCTCTCTCTCTCTCTCTTAAAAAGTGAAGTTGAGGTTTGGGGCAATCTTGGGGGGATACAAAAAAAAAAACAATCGTCAAATGAGATTGTTAGAGGCGGTCTCTCTCTCTCTCTCCCTCTCCCTCTCTCTTTCTCTCTTAATAAAGTGAAGTTGAGGTTTGGGGCAATCTTGGGGGGTAAAAAAAAAACAATCGTGCAAATGAGATTGTTTGAGGCGGAAAATAAAATAGTATCATATTAAGGAATGGCTCCACAAGGAACCAGGTTTGTATTAAAATATCGCATATTGAACTTTTAAAGGTTATCTAACAAATGAATTTCAACAAGATTTAACAAACCAAATTACTCGACTTTTCTAGTGTGTCAAAAAAAGTTTTGTAAATAGGACAAAGCTAATAAGCCACCTCTCACAATCTTTTTGATGTTCAACTTTCCCTAGTTTGGAATTTCAAATCCACAAATCAAGACCAAAAGGCTAAGGCAATAGTAGCTGGGATTAAACGGTTACACTCTCTAGCACAATAACATACACCGCCAATTAGCCAACCGTCTCTACTCTTAATATGGAGTAATGGTACCCGGACATTACAAAATCAAAACTTAATGCTTCCTTATTTCAAAAGGCAGTAACTGACTAAATGGTCAGATTTTAGAGAGTGCATGAATAATTATCAATGTACTAAATGGCATCCTCATCTTCAGTAATACATACGAAGACACAAAAAATTAAACTTTTTATCGCGATATTGATAAATTGAAGCATCAAGCATCCATAAACCCCACAACATCTAAGTAATTAATTCAACCACAATGGTAATTATACAGTAATATTCACAGAAGAATCAGCAATCAACTCAGATTTAACAATTAGAGCAAATTTCAGCACAAATCGAAAAGGAAGCAGATCATAGTTTCATACCTGAATGTAAAAACATCAAATTACACCCAAAAAAGTTATCAATTCAACAACAGAAATAATCCAACCCAAACCCAAAATTATTCTAAGAAAATCGTAAGGAAAACAAATAAACCCAATCAAAAGCCATAGATTCGTCCAATTGACAGCTCAAATTAACCATGATTATGCAAATCAAAATCGAGAAAAACTAAAATCGAGAAACGAAAGTACTAAAAAAAAAATTAAATTGGGGAAATTGAAGATAGTAGAAAGCAAAATCGAAGAAAATAGGGATAAAAAATTGGGGAAATTGAAGAAAATAGAAAGCAAAATCGAAGAAAAAAGGGATAAAAATTGTAGAAAGATCTGAAGGAATGAGACGTGAGCGTACCTGTAAAAATCGAGCGATTTAGAGTGGGGAGAAGTTGTTAGGAGAGAGATTGGAAAACCTAATATAACCTCAGGATTGGGTTTCTGTTGTTAGTGTTACTCCGTACTTATTATTATTATTTTTTTTTTTGGAGGTTCTTAATTTTAATTTAAAGTAGATTGTACCCATATAAGAAAAAATATATTTAAAATATAAAAAGTTGATTTTAATGTTGTAATTTAGATTTGAGTTGTAATAGACGACATTAAACATCTAACATGTTAAATAAGTAGTGCAGTATTTTATAAGAAGTTTTAAATGGTGGAATTGCATAAGAAAATTCCTTGGAGGAGGAGTTTTTAATGTTTTTTTTTTAAAAAAAATTATATGTAGTTGTACATATAAAATTGGGCCTCACATGGTTTAATACGCTTAATATGAGGGTGAGAGATCGTTACGAGTATAATTTAATACTCCATAGTACGTAGGTTATATAAGCAAGAGTATTAATAAAACATTCAAGTTTTTTTTTTTTTTTTTTTCAATCATAGTGTGTTGCAAGTCTTGCAACTTGCAAATAGAGTGATATTTCCATTCTAGAAAGTATCAAATCTTAGTTATATATAAACCTTATCTCATTGCCTATCGACTAGTAGTTGCCATAACATGATGTACACTAATTTTATTGTAAACTAGATGTACGCAAAAGATTTTGAAAGTTTAAACCAATCGAGAAGCCATTTGCGAGATAAAAAGTTAAGTCACTTGGACTCAGCTACCCATGTCTGACACAAGTGTCTAAGCGTTCGACTCGGCTATTTTGTGAAAAAATTCCATGATTTTGATTTTAAACTAAAAGTGAAGTGTGTGAATGTCATATCCATGTTCGAATGTCGAGGGTCCGACAAGGATAATGAAGAGTCCAAGTAACATAAGTTATAAGACCAATGGAGAGACATGATAGCATGATTTCCTATATTAAAGATTTGATAACAATGTACAAAGGCCTTCTCTTGCCAAGGCAGCTATAAGTACAACCAAGTCCTTAGAATAAGAGCCTAAAGAAGGGTCAACTGCAAAGCTGAGAGCAAAGTCGTTGAACCCGGGAAGACTTATCATCTACCAATGGATATACGTGGCTTCGTCCATTGCTGAGGCACGTCACGTTCACTTTATCTCCGAGCTCCATCGACTGCAATCAATGAAATGCACACAAGCAGCAAGTGTTAATTGCAACATCCAGTAAAGAGCAGCCTAACCTAAATTAGCACTTAGGCTATGTTCCTTTTACTTTGACAAGGTTTCCCAAGTTCAATTCACCAACTACAATAACACTTCTCAGATAAGGGCCAATAAGGGTTTACAAGTTCATATGCCAATAATTAAGGTGAAAAAAAACTAAGCCTAGAGTTGTATGAATTCATAGATTATAAGAGAATAGCCTACATATATTGTTGAAATTAACCCCAAAACATTTTATAGTTCTTTTGCATGAAATTGAGACAAAATGTAGGTCATGTGAATTACCTCACAAAGCAGTTGTTGCGAATTGCAGCTCCATTTAGAAGAAGGAATACAGCTCAAATAATGGCACCATGAACAATAGTCGTTTCCATTTGCTCCTCTAAAAAGCATCACAAGTCCACCCGTAAATCTGAAAAATCATTCCTGGTGGTTAGCCGTAACAATTACAGGGAACAAAAGTGTGAATAACAGCAGTATTGTTGCCCTCTCACGATGCAATAAAATCAGTAAGAAAATCACAAGGCCAAAATTGTCAGTTGGCAATAGTTACAAATGAAAGTTAGGACAGTATAAAAGTTGGAGCGCACAACCAAGATTCAAGCTCACCCGCCAATCAAGACTACAGTAGCGACGATCCAAAGTACGTACTGATATGGCTTGTGCTTAGATTTACGAGGTCCAGCAGAAGAGCCTACATAAGTATGCTTTTGGCTCACCCATCCAAATTGCGGGCGAATCAAAAGCATAAATCCAAGAAGAAACCCTGTGATAAATCCACCAATATGAGCAAAATTGTCCACATGAGGGAGAACTCCAACAGCCAGATTCAAAATGATGATCAATATTAGGGTCAACAAAGCTGCCAACTGGTTGTCAAAAACATAGTGTCATATGAGATATGACAAACAAGCAAAGTAAAGAACAGCAATGAGCGATACAAAACTTCAAGTACCTTGTTTGCATAAATTGTCCAATTTGTAAGCAGCTCAGAGAGCATAGCCCCTAGAAGACCAAATAATGCACCAGAAGCACCAACAGAGATTGCAGATTGGAGAAACAAAGATGACAATATGTTTGCACCGAAACCAGAGATTACATACAACAAACCTATCTTTACTGTAGAAAAGATGAGGCTAGAGTTAGAATAGTGTAAGAAAACGAACTAATGAAAAATGTAGTATAAACTTGTCTACTGCCAATAATTTCAACAGGAAAGACGAACACAATGACTATCCAAGCAACATGAAAAGTGGAGCACAACAAAACCAAACTCTAATACAAATTCATAATTCAAAAAATGAAATGCTGACATTTTTAATAACCACATTACCACAGTGCAGAAGAACTCAACATGCAAAGACATTCTAAAACATATAGTGTATTAAAAAAGCAATAAGACTGCTATTTGTGCAAAAACATAACAGAAACTTAAAAGGCCAAATGTAGAAAGAACTAAGGAAGCATACCAAAACCAAACTCTTGCTCAAGTCGTATGCCAATAAATACAAGGCTCAACATATTTGCAAGGATATGTACTACCCCAGCATGAAGCCATATGCTGGTAATCAACCGCCAAGCTTGATGTTGTATCACAATCTTATTCACCTCCAAAGCTCCCATCTTCTCCAACCTGAACATACAAGTTCATAACTGTAGTTTAGATATCTCTTATGAACCATGTTAAGAATGACCCCACAATAAGTGTGAAGATTGCATTCTTACAAGTTACAAACAGCTCTTTTCTGAAAGTTTAGTCCAAATCGTCTTAAGTCATCAAACCATCAAACTGTGTGAACCACCTAATGAACCTAGAATGTCTCAGCATCTCTGGCTCAAGAAGAGCCTATCTAATCTTAAATCAACAGCAAACTATGGAGTAAATCGAATCGCCACATAGTTGCACTACCATGATTCCACACATTAGAAATTAGCACTAACATGCTTTCACCTTTCAGGCAGACTAAAATCCCTACATCCCAAGTACCATCTCAAATGAATCACACTCTAATAAATAGAAAATACTACTGTATATTCAAACAATCAAATCATAACTTCAAACTTATTAAAAGAAAAACCCCATAAAAATGCACTTCTTCTCATCCTCATTTCACAATCATACAACACCAACAAGTTCAACAGAACACTAGTTCGCAGCCCAAAAAACTAATTTTAGCTACTTCTACAATAATTTTCAGAAACCCACCAAAAATACATGATCAAACATACATAATAAAAAATATTTAAATCAAGAGAATACAAAAAAAGTAACTTACGCAGCAGAAGAAGGACCAAGAAGAGGATTTTCCTTGAGAGGTTGGAAAGAGAACCTTCCCAAAAACCTAGCAAAGCAAGAGAAAGAATACTTGGGGCAATCATTCACATACATTGTTATAAAAAACAACACCACATTCACCACCACAAACGACGGCACCACCCATGAAACCCACCTATTAAACGGCCGGAATTCCATTTCCGGCGGATGGGCCATTCTAGAATCTTCTTCACCAAAAACCCAGAAATTTTTTCCCGTCAATTTGCATGAAGATGAAGAGAATCATGGGTTTGTGATGATTGATTATAATGTGGTGAATGAATTATGAATGCAACCGTTTTGAAAAGGGAAAAGAACGGTTCACCAATTTAAATAAGGAATAATGAATAAAGAAAGAAAGATTAAAAAACGGGCAGTTTCCTGGATTTTTGGGTCTCTAAAGTAGTCGTGATTCGGATTCCTTGGCTTTGCCGGCTAACAGTTCACCCAAAATGATGTTGATTGTAATTTGTACCCTCTAATAGTGATTTCATGATAAAGAATATGGGCCCTCTTGATAATTGTCCGTTGCTGCTTTGGGTTGTGTTGGCCCATTCTTTGTATTCCGTTTCGAGGTTGTCCTCCATCATTATCGATGATCGCTTAGGCCTCGTGTTTTTCACCTTATTATGGTTGTTGCCTTGTGAAATGTTGCTTAATTCGTCTTAATAAATATAGTCAATAGATGATCATATAAGGAACCACGGTAGTGGTTGTCTTATTGGTGCAATTGTAATTGAGGTTGTACTTGTTAGGGTGGGCTGTGAGTTCGATCCTTTGTAATACCAATTGAGTGGAGATTGGAATATGACCACTCAAAATCGAGCCTTGAATTCGAATTATTCTAAAAGGTTAATCAGGTGAGAACACCTAAAAAAAACAAAAAAAAGAACTATGGTGGTTTTGAGTAAATAATAGGAGACATGTTTATAATAACAAAATTGATAATGGAGGGTTTCAACGACGCAAATGGTCTTTCGTGAACTTGTGGGATTCATGAAATACTTTTTTTCTTTATCTTATCCAAGCATGAAATAGATGAAAATTCTCCAAAAGCAAAGACTATAATGTATATTTTTGGACCAATTTTGATTTTCGTAAAAAATTTGAAAGTAGATGTAGGAGGCATCACTTGTTGGGGATTTTGTGTTTAACAAGGGTCACATAGAAAGCAAATAAAATAAACTGGTAAAATTTTCAAGGCTTGAACGGGATCACTTTCCCAAAAGTATAATTCCGACTCTATACTACAACCGGGTTTTACGGAAATTTACTTAGGAGATACAACGAAGAACAATTGCAATCACAAGTAGGATGATTACAATTCAATGTATAAAAGCTTTTGTATTTATAACGATGATAAATATAGAGTTTGCAAAATATTTCAAAGAAAATAACGTGCATATTTTCTTCAAGTTCTTTTCATCATGTCTTAAAGACATATATATAGTAGTAATAATTGTCCACCCAATAGTCACGGAGTAACTGACTAAATTCTCAAAGAAGTTTGAAATAAACTGATACTTATCCTTGAATCACTTTTATCATATGTTTTTATAAACATATATAATAACAGCCAATGTTCACCAAAAGCCACGAAGAGAAAACTGCCAAAACCGGCAAATAACTGACTGAATCCGCCAGCTTCAAAATTGAACACCCCGCGCCCGATCGGGCTAGCCACAGGGCGGTTATGGATGTCAATTTCTGTCACCTCTCGCGCCCGGTCGGGCGAGCCCCACCCTGACCGGGCGGCAGACCGGGCCATAGAGAGGTTGTTCGCTTCATTCTCTTTACCGTGCTTTCTCCCTTTAAATCAAGGTTTTCTACTTTAATGTCTTATTTAATTAAATACAACACCTTATCCTAAGTATATAATTAAATAATCATGAAATTAGTCTACATTCTCTAAATTATTCAACATCACTTAGGATCAATAGCTATTTGGAAGTATAACATATTAAACATGCATACCTTCCAACAAACAACATGGATTCTTGAATTTTGTGATATAGGTAATCAAGAGGTAAATGGGTTATATTGGATGGTAGTTTCAATTATAACTAGGCATTTCACGGTCCTATCAAAATGTCAAGCACCATTTGACACAAGATACATAAAGGCATAAGGCCTAACTATGTGGGCTATACATCACATACTTATGTTGACATTAATTTTGAATAAGAGTTATGAGTGATAAACAATAATTAGTGATACCATTTTTGTTAAATTATCATAAATCACATCCCTAACAAAATTTATTGAAACAAAACCTTCCATGATCCAATAATTCGGAGTAAAATTTAACATTTGAGTGAATCATGTTAGCACTAAATAAAAAAGTGTAACCATTTTTGTTATTTGAATGAAGTATCATAACACATTAGGTCGACATAAGCTAAGTTATGTGATCTGTGCCATCTGGTATGAGACTAGTTTGTCATGGACCTCGTGGGTTGATACTGTGATACAATGAGCAAGCGGACTAACCATGAACACAAGCTACATCAGAAGAAAGCCAATGGTCAATGTTTTTTTTGAAGAGATCAATAGTCAATTTTGTGGAAGTACCATTTAATATTACAATTTACAAGTCAAGACTTACAAACAAACTTACTCAAATAACTTCTATTTATGTGGCCCGAAAATTTTAGGTACTACTATATTGTTAATTATTACTCCATATAGTATTATACAAATACAACAGAATAATAAAAATATATGCAAAAACTTAACATGTATGGAATTTTTTAAAAAGTTAAATCTTCAACTACAATCAAGTATAGAGCAAATTAAGGATTTAATTGATTCTTAGCTAAGCAAAAATATATATTTAATGATATTTTTTCCCTTTCAACGAAATTATACTTAAGTAATTTAGGGAAATGATGTAAATCAAACATAGTTGATTAGTTTGATAAATCAAACTATCAATCAAGACCAGTAAACAAATAAAAATAAAAAATCAATTGTGTCATAATTTATTTGTTTGATTAGTCGACATTTCTCTATTACTTGTATATTGTATAGGACTAATCTGAGTTCAATACCCTGAACACGAAAATTTGATACGTATTTTACATTGGATCTTTTTTAGTTTAGAGAGTCATAAGGATGGAGAGGGGGTGAGAATTGATCCCATGATTACTTAAAACCGTGAGGAAAGTTCTAGTCACTTGAGCTATCCCTCCCTCTCTTTTACATTGGATATCTAATAGAATCACCAACACATTTTGATAACTAATTATACTATTGTAATGCTACTATACTAGTATATGATTTATGATTAAATTTCTAACACAATATTACAAAATCAATATAAAAGCTAAGTTATTGAAAATTTCATCAAATAAGAAAAGCTTTATAGTTTATAAAACTAAATGACTAATACAAGTACTCTATAGAAGCAGAACCATGTGATGAACGGGTGATTATGTCTCGCCAAAGGAATTCTTTAAAATGCTAAAATTTGATAAACACGAGCTAAATACAAGAAAATATATTCGCATAACCTTTGCTAATTAACGATGATCATCAAATTAAGTCAAGAAATTATTTCTTTATCACATCATACTGTTTGATTAACGTGCAATTAATTATAAAAAAACGTTAATTATGGCTTTCTTACTCTCTATAAGAGACTAAAACCCTTATTCCACGCTATTCTTACATTAGAACTCAAGGGATTCTTCCTCACTTGCAACACCGACTTCCCACATTCTCATTTCTTGCTCTACACTTTCGCAACGATTCCCTTTTATGCACAAAACTATACTATATCGAAAATTCGATCAAATTAGGAAGCCAAATATGTCCTCAAACAAAGCATTTTACTCCCAACTAAAACACAAAGAAACAACACTTGGTAGTAGTAAAACCACTAGCATCGTTACTTGGTTTGTTCTCTTTACTTGTCTAATTCTTACTTTTTTATTAGCCCATTTCAATTCTTCGCCGTTTCTTAATGGCACAAATCTCTCCTACTTGGCCAATATTAGTACCGTGTTTTCTATTAATAGCAGTACTTTCGGTATTGATTATGTGAAAGATCAAGGAAGACTTGTAGAAAAATCCGATGAATGTGAAGGAAGATACATTTATATACAAGATCTTCCTAGGAAGTTTAACGAAGATTTGCTCGAAAATTGCAGTACTCTTAACAAATGGGTTAACATGTGTGAGTACCTTACAGACTTCGGTCTTGGACCGGGGTTAAACTATTCTAGTACTCGTAATTGGTTTATTACAAACCAATTTTCTTTAGAGGTCATATTTCATAATAGAATGAAGCAATATCGATGCTTGACTAATATTTCTTCCAAGGCATCCGCGGTGTATGTGCCATTTTATGCAGGGCTAGATGTAGGGAGGTACTTATGGGATGATTACGAGACTAAGGTTAGAGATAACGCGTCTATGGAAGTAGTTGAGTACCTCAAGGGAAAACCCGAGTGGAAGAAAATGTGGGGACGCGACCATTTTTTAGTAGCCGGAAGGGTGTCATGGGATTTTAGAAGAGCAAGAGATAACAAGTTGGATTGGGGGAATAGTTTGTTCAACCTACCTGAGGTTAAGAACATGACTAATTTAGTGATCGAATCAAGCCCTTGGAGCAACACTGACTTCGCGATACCTTATCCTACGTATTTTCACCCTTCAAGTGATGATGAGGTATATCATTGGCAAGAAAAAATGATGCAAAAGCAAAGGCCTTATTTGTTTTCCTTTGCTGGTGCTCCTAGGCCAGAGCTTAAGGATTCTATAAGGAACGAAATTATCAACCAATGTTTAGGCTCGAAAGGTAAACATTGCAAGTTTGTAAGATGTGACGCGAACACTAAGAATTGTGATAAGCCAGAGACTGTTATGAGATTGTTTCAAAGCTCAATCTTTTGTTTACAACCTCCAGGGGACTCATACACTCGAAGATCAGCATTTGACTCGATTTTAGCAGGGTGCATTCCTGTTTTTTTCCACCCGGCTTCAGCTTACGTGCAATACTTGTGGCATTTTCCGAAGAATTATACAAGTTATTCAGTGTTTATACCAATGGAAGATATAACTAAAGGGGAGTTTGTCATTGAGAAAAGGTTACTAGAAATACCAAAAGAAAAGGCGGTAGCTATGAGAGAAGAGGTCATTAAGTTGATTCCAAATGTGATATATGCAAATCCTAATTCAAGATTAGAGAAATTTGAAGATGCATTTGATATTGCAGTGAAGGGAGTTTTGAGCCGAATTACAACAGAGAATAATTCTGTTTTATCTGATGATTTTCCTGAAGATCTTTCTTGGAAGTACAATTTTTTTGGAGGGGTAGAAAATCATGAGTGGGATCATTATTTTTCAAGGGGATAGTAAAATTAGTAAGAAAAAAAAAATTAATAAAAGGGAAATTATAGGAGTAATTTATTTATATTTTGACATTTCTATTGTATGATATCAAATCATATATTTTGTGGCATTTTACATCTGTGATCTATCTAATTAATGGGAGATTCTTTTTAGTACATTCTTTCCTTTGCTACACATGCCAAATATTCTATTGTTTGCATTTGACCACAAATAATGTACAAGTACTCGTAACTATTCTTGATTTCTTGGTGATCATGGTCTTCATGGATATATTTGTTTTAACCTCTTGATTCTTTCTCATATCATTCTTGATTTGTTTTCCTTGAAACCCATATAATTATAGTATTTGACCATGGTTAGTAGGTTTTTTTTTTTTTTGGAAATAACTGTGGTGAGTAGTTTAAATGAACGAAAAACGTAATAATTCTTGATTTCTTAGTTTAAATTACGTATATTTGTCCATTTCTCCCTTTGGGATATATTGGCTATTTATCATTCCTAGACAGTTGTTTTTGAGAAAAAATTAGATATGTTCCCTGCATATATATAATTGTTCTAGTTGTTTAAGAGCTACTTCATAAATTTCATCCTAAAAAAAGTCAAAATGCTTACAACCATGCATTATATAACCCGTACACTACACAATTAAACCCATACTCGATCCTAGAATGGTGTTAGAATGAGAAAAGCAACTATAATTTCTGAAAATTATAACTTATGTGACAAGTGATAGCCTACAAAATAGGTTAATCCAGTCCAAATTCTTTAAAAACATTGAAAGTTTCAGCTTCCTCCTCTTTTGTTCCTCATTTTCAGCCAAAAAAAAAAATCACTCTCTTTACCATCATTGTATTAATGAAAATCTCAATATTATGAATCAAACTTTTTTTTAATGTGATTTAATCTTAAGGTTATTTCATGTTACAACTATTCTCATTGAATCCTATGTCCTCCATATTTGTCTTGATTCATCTTAAAGAGATTGATGATACACCGGAGAGCGAGAGCTCATCGCGGAAAGGTGCATAAAACAACCATGGCAATATGTAAGAATAGATTATGGTTGCTTATTATATCCTTATTCACAATATGGTCACTTTTGATTTGCCTAAATTATTCGTCTTTGATCGATAGTGTAGCTTCTTTAGCAAAATTTTACGTATATTCTGTAAATTACCAACATGAGATTCCAATTATTCCTAACCGTAGATATACCGAAAGTATTAGTTCCACCTTAGATGAAAGTAATGCCAACAACAATACTAGCATTAGGGAAGAAACAGAGCAAACAGAAGAAAAAACAGGGGAAATACAAGAAGAAACAGAGGAAAAAACAGGGGAAATACAAGAAGAAACAGAGGCAAAAACAGAGGAAACAGGGGATGATGAGATTGATAAGCTTTTAGATGTGAATATAAAGGATATTGTTGAAGACAGTGATCATAAGTCATCTATTAAAGTTATCGAGAAGAGCGAACAAGATGAAATCATCAAGGAAACGGCAGTAGCTAAGGAAACAATGATGGAGAAACAACAACAATTTCCAACTCTTAAGAAGAAGAGAAGGAAAGGGAGACCTAAAAGGCGGAAAACTCCTAAGAATTTGTCTAATATACAAGTAGTGAATACAAATTACAATCAAGAATCATCATGGAACAACAATGTAGGTGAAGAGAAATCCGATGTCTCGCCTCCTCCTCCTCCACCACCATCACCATCACCACCACCACCATCTCCACCGCCTCCATCCCCACCTCCACCACCACCCCGGGTATGCAAAACGGCACAAAATTCTAACCCAAAATCCTGCTTGGGGCGCTACATTTATGTACACACACTCCCTAGAAGATTCAATGTAGACTTACTAAGGGATTGCAAGTCTCTTGACTTATGGATGGATATGTGCCAATATGTAAGGAACTCGGGTCTAGGCCCTGAGCTTCCAAACTCGGACCGTGTTTTCTCCGAACATGGATGGTTTGCAACTAACCAATTCTTACTAGAAGTGATCTTCCATAATAGAATGAAGCAATATGATTGCTTAACAAATGACTCTTCTATTGCATCAGCCATCTTTGTACCATTCTACACAGGACTCGACGTAGCACGACACTTGTGGAACACAGACTCCGATATAAGAGACTCGGGTGGGTTCGAGTTAGTAAGACTACTAAAGAGGAAGCCAGAGTGGAAGAGATGGTGGGGAAGAGATCATTTCTTTGCTGCAGGAAGAATAACATGGGATTTTAGGAGGTCAGAAAATAAGAATGATCCAGATTGGGGAACTAAATTCCTTTACTTACCTGAAGCTAGAAACATGACGGGTTTAGTGATCGAATCGTCGCCTTGGAATAGCAATGATTTTGGGATACCATATCCTACTTATTTTCACCCTTCAAATGATGCAGATGTTTTTCAATGGCAATATAGAATGAGTAAACAAAAGAGAAGAAATTTATTTTGTTTTGCCGGGGCTCCAAGACCCGATAGACCTGATTCGATCCGTAACCAATTGATCAACCAATGTGAGAGTTCCAAGAAATGTATGATGATTCACTGCAATAATTGGAAGAATAAGTGTCATAAACCAGCTGAATTAATGAAGATGTTTCAAAGCTCTCATTTCTGCTTGCAGCCTCCAGGAGACTCTTATACAAGAAGATCCACTTTCGATTCGATACTTGCGGGTTGTATACCCGTTTTCTTCCACCCGGGTTCGGCTTATATTCAATACTTGTGGCATCTCCCTAGGGAGTTTACTAAGTACTCAGTTTTCATCCCTATGTATGAGGTGAGAGATGGTAAAGTTAGCATACAAAAGGTGTTGGAGAAAATTTCTGCTCAAAGAGTTGAAAAAATGAGAGAAGAGATTATAAACCTTATTCCTAAGATAATATATGCTGATCCAAGGTGTAAGTTAGAGAGTTTGGAAGATGCATTCGACGTCACGGTGAAGGGGGTGTTGGAGAGAGTTAGAAGGATTAAGGAAGACATGAGAAATGGGAGGGATGATAGTTTTGGTTATGATGAAAGGCAAGCATGGAAATATAGGTGGCTAGGGAAGTTGGAGGAACATGAATGGGATCCTTATTTTTCTGGTTCTTTTGATTCTAGGAACTTCACAAATTTTTAGTTTAATCAGATTTTGTTTAGTAGATGAGTTTTTTCTTGCAATTTTTTGTAGGAAAAATTTAAGGGGATTGATTTATTATTCTTAATGAATACAAGTACAATTCTTTGTTTCCTGCTCTTGTGTTGCTAATGTAGCATGATCAGCTTGTAAACTTATTACAGATCAAAACTCTTGCTATTTATCATAAGTGCAATGAGAAAAGAAATCAATGGATCTTATGTTAAGCACTCATGTAAAATGCAAAATCTAATGTATGCTCCAGTAGAATAATCAATGAACATTATGCTAAGCACTCATGTAAAATGCAAAATCAACTTGTTACAAATCAAATCGATGGCATGGTTTATGTTCAAGCATGGGATGCCAACTTTTTACATGAGTGACACCTCTTCCATTCAACTTATTTTTGAAAAATTTTCTCTTAGCATAATGTTCATTGATTATTTGATTTGTAATGCCAACTTATATGACCCCGAGGGACACCTCTTCCATTCAACTTATTTTTAGAAAATTTTCTCGAAATTGGTCTAACAGAGTGGATTACAGCCTTTGATTTTGGACAATTTTCGACTTTTTCAAATCCGGAAAGGAAACAGGTCACTACTTCCTATAAACATTTAATCCTACGATATCCCGAGATTCCATTGAGGTGGTTGAAATCATCTAATTTTACTTTATATGGTTCAGCCTAAATCCATAATAGTCAACATTACAATTTTGGACCTTAATGTAATAACATCAACAGCGTTTGTAGTCCAACGGTTAGGATAATTGCCTTCCAAGCAATAGACCCGGGTTCGACTCCCGGCAAACGCAGTTTTTAACCCCATTTTTTCACATTGACCCACTCAATCATATGTGGGCCATCACTCAGATATTAGAGCAGCCCATTTAAACATCCATCCAATCCTGACCACAAAAGGGCATTTTCGTCTACCACCTCAAAAAAAATTAAAAGAAAAATCAATCATAAATTCCGTTCTCTTACTCGAACGACGCCGTAAAGGTCGCGTGTAAACCTCACATTATCCACACAAACAAACCTCTCATTTTCTCTCTCTTTTTTTCTCTCTCTAACCATCAATGGCCGGAGCACCTCGTACTTCTCTCTCACCAACTCGGTTAATCATACCTCCTAACTCCGTCACCGGTAAATTTTTCCGGCTGAAATTCTCTTCCTCCGGCGTCTTCAGCCTCCGCTGCTATGTCGCCGGCGGCGGATTGTCTACTTGCGCCGCCTTCCAAACTCCGGTGATTTCCGAAGGTCCTTCATGTATTTTCGTCGGTCCTGTTGAAACAGCTAGTCAAGAAACTCTAGAAGCTCTTTATCGCCAGGTATTATCAGTTCTTCATGATTGAATCAGTGTAATTCATGGTTTTATTGATTTTAGTCTTGATTTTTTTTTTTTAAATGGATAGGCGAAGGATTCGTATTACAGTGGGAAACCGTTGATAATGGATGACATGTTTGATAGAGTTGAGGTGAATTTATTGAAATGATTTCTATTTTTTGTTAAATTCGGAATAAATTTGATGGAATTGATTTGATGAATCACTGATGAATTTGTGGTGGTTTGATGGTGGAACAGTTGAAATTGAGGTGGTATGGATCGAAATACGTGATGAAGTATCCAAGGTGTAGTTTACGCCGGCAATCTACTTATGCTGATGCTCAGGTGAACTACTTTCTTTCAATTTGTTGTTATTTCTACTACAATTATCTGTTTAAGCGACTCGTGGAAAGTTGAATTATGCTGATTAAATGTGTTTCTGCTATTTAATTTACAAGAGCATAACTGGAATTTGATAGACTTGTCAAAAATTGACCCGGCCTTGGATTGACACGAACTTGCTCGAAAGAATTGAAGTATTGAATTAGGATTGTTAAATCCGAAAGTGTAAAGGGAAAAGGGCGAAAATGCTACTAAAAAGAGGTCTTGACCAATCTAATTCTGATATATTATCCTTCAAAATATTATTGTCAAGTGTCTGCAATTATTTTACGAGGTAATGATGATGATGTAGGCATGTAGCTAAGCTATATCAGTGTGATGGTGTAGACATTCTGTCTGAATTGAGTTTTTACTTTAAGAAAACTAATGCAATATGACTTGTGGCATTTCGTGCTTTTCTGGCTTAGAGAGGAGTTCGACAACTTCTACCTATTTTGATGTATCAAAGCCCTATGTGTAAGCAAGTCACTTTAGTATCTGCTTATGGTTACTAAGATGTACCAAATCATTGTTCTGTGTGACCTGAAAAAATAATTGAAATTGAGCATTTGACCTCGTTAGACTGAATGTGTTATGATTTTATTCCTCTGCCTTGGTTACCTTTCGAAACAAGGTTAAGGTTAATGATCTATGTTTTCATTATTGACCTGCAGTTTAGGCAATTTTAAGGATGTAATGCAAATTATATGTTATATACTGTTGTGATGCCCATCATGATAATCTGTATAAACATTTTTGGGATGGGAGGGGGGAGAAGACGAAAAGGCTAGGCAAATTATTGAGTTTTGAAAGATGTGGCGTGTAAGTTTGTTTGGGGGCTAGTAAAACATTAGAGAAAAGGACAGAAAGGCAAAGGAGGAAATTGGTAATTTGTAACTAAAGCTTCTGACTACCTCCTCCTTTGTTAATGCCAATTTGTTCCTAGTTTTGAAATTTTGTAACTTTTTTTAATAGTAAGTGTAACTGTATTATTCACTATAGTTTTTGTCATTGAAAAGAAATTTGTTAGTGCTTTCCAGTTTCCGTGTTAAATAGAAAGATATTTGTATATTAGTTGAAGATGTAATGACATCTATGTAGGGCAGGAAGACCCTTCGCAGGTGTTTGCTTTGGCGAGCGTGTGGTTTTTGATACTTGCATTCGGTGGTGCGGTATGCCTTGTGCCTATGTTATACACCATCAACTTAGCTTATCAGGATGCTTTGACTTCAGAATCAGTCTACAGCAGCCATCCAGCTGTAGTTGAGTTTCTTGGCATGTTGAACACTCTGCTGTTCATTCTTCTGGGTTCCATTATTGGCTGCCCAATTGCTTCAGCTTCTGGTAATTTTGCATCCAGCCTTTTCATTACCACTGATTTACTCTTTTAGTCTGTTGAATTAATTAAACTGGTATAATAGCAGGGTGCCCTTAGACCTTCAACCTCGTAGTATATAGCTGCCATATGTATTAAATCTTATACAGTTAATAGTTAATACAGGAATAGATTGTCATGTCATTCTTGATTACTACAGGGTTTTTTACTTGTGAAACCAAGTGGAAATTAGTTATTTGAGCTGTGAAATATTAAGTATATTGGGTTGAATGTCATAAAAAAATTTTAAAAAAAAAAGGAGAAAAAAAATAGATGACCATCATTATCCTAGTTTGGTTGATGAATAAGTTTAAGGATGAAAGGGGAAGATTTGGTTCTTCAATATTGCTTTCTTTGGTCAATCATGGTTTAAGTGACACCATTAATCATCTGTCGTCTAATGCCCATCTTCACTGTTCAGCTAGAGCACTACAAGGCCTGTGGCGGAATGATCTAGTGGCGCTGAAAGGAGCTTGTCCAAATTGTGGAGAAGAGGTTAGCTTACTGAATTTGCACTTTTACGTCTAGAAATTATTTGTTAAGGCTGTCCTCATTGTAATAATTGGATCAGAGTGATTTGTACATAGTAGTATCTTTCTTACATATATTGCTGGCAAAAAATTTCAGGTCTTTGCATTTGTGAGGTCAGATCATAGCCATAGCTCTTCTCATAGATCAGATTGTCATGTATGTGAATGTCGGCTTGAATTCCGCACCAAAGCTGAGGTAAATTCTGTTTCCTTAAGCTTCACAATGTGGATTGGATGACAATTTTTGGTATGTTGTCACAAGTGGCTACAACTTCATTTTCTGACTGCATCAATATACAGCATAAGAACCAATGTAACCCAAGATCTTGAATTAAATAGAATCAGCAAAATTTTGTTCCATTTATACGTGGGCCTTCGTCTACCCATGTAACCACTCACTAACCATGACTGTTTAATGTTATAGATTGTTGGTTAACTTGATTTTGGCTTATGTAGTCTGGAGATTGTGTTGAAATTGCGTAACATATCTTATATCTATCATTTTGCAGCAATCCATTTCAAAACTTGGCAGACGATGGGTTCATGGTCGTGTATACCTGATATCTGACAGACGAAGTCGCCGGCGTTAAACATTCACATAATAACCAGGGCAAGAGAGAGTTAAATGTGATTTTGAGTTCATGTACAGTAGGATGATTCTTTTGAAGCTGAGCACAGGCTGGTAGTACAAAATTCAAAGTATACAGCAAAGCAAAATTTATACAGTTGGACATTAGTGTGAGCATATTACCATACTGTAGCCTCCTTCCTCCCTAGCTAAGTATAAATCTGCGATATCATGTATGAAATCTATAGTGCATAGTATTTCCCTATTTTTTTTTTCTTATTGTTTTCTTGGTCTGATTGGTTATTGAACATGCCAAGACACTCGGCTTTATGATAGCTATCTCAGTATTTCTTTCCATTGGCATGGAAATTGTATGATTGAGATGCTCAGGATTAATTTTACATTTATCTTGTGCCATTTATTGTTAATTTCTTCAAATTTAATGATAGCCATTTATAGGGTAATTACTCTATAAAGCATGTAATAACTATTAAATCATTAGAACAATTTCCCCTGTGAAACTATTTAACCTGCTTGAGAGATATTTTTAGAGTTCACTGTCAACTGAAAAAATGAGTTTTGGATAGCCTGTGAACACTATTGGAATGCATCACATTCAAAATTCAATAGGCATATCGGATCTTTATTTCAACAAGGCAAAGGGGTAGTCTTTTTTGGATCTCTTTAAGAAGGAACGCCAAAGTTATCAAAATTATTAATACTTCCATGAAATGACGAGTAAGAACTTTGCTATCAATTTAAATGCTAACGAGTTTGTGCTTCACATAAAACTAAGAAAGTACAAACTTTAAACAAATACTTCATACAACTGCAATAATGAAATCATCTAGCTGTTCCGGGCAAATCAGAAAATTTGGCGCCAGTTCCTCTCAATATCAATCAAGAATAATTCTTGTTACCTAGTCAATCAAAAGTGTCCCAAGCTGTATACTAGAATCCACGCAAGCTGTAAAAACAGGAGACAGAACTCAATTTCCAGCAATGGATCAAACAGAAAGAATTTAGAATGTTATGTTGAGATGGCAAAGGGGCTTACCAAAAAGAGAGTCATTGATGCAAAAAGCCCTTCCTGGAGGAGAGCACTATGACCACCATATTCTTCCTCGTCAACCTTCAGTATCAATGCATAATACCCATACACGATGGCAGTGGAAAGAGCCAAGAACCTGTAACCATACAGCAGAAAGCAATGAACAATGAATCATCAGGAAGAAAAGGGCCAGAGACAATCGAACAGAAACATGATGACATGACATGACATGAACAGAAACCTAATTCCTTAAATATAAAGATCATAATAACATGGCCTCAACTTTAGAATTTCAGTTATGTCCAGGCAAAAGAGCCTTGAAGATAATCTGGGCAGCTCTTCATTTATTACCCCACTGACATAGGAAACTCCCAAGTACAATCTAAAGAGCTAAAATTAGGATTTGAGATTATTTCCTTAAAGAAACCCAATCAGAACTTATTAGCACAATAGCTGCTATACGAGCTTATTTTTCCTTATTCAGGAATATTATGGTCTTATAGGCCCCTATCCAAAAATATTTTAGTTGCGCTTTGAACTTAGCCCTTACTTGAACTTATCTAAACTTCGCCTATTTTTCCTCAACCTATTCCAACTTAGTAGTCGTGATCTTAACTTTATATAACAAGGTAGTATTAAATTTATTAAAGCTTGGTGCTTCAAGTTGAAAAGAACAAAACCCACAAGATGTCTGATCATGTCATAGAGTTAAAGACAATGTCACTTCTGTATCTACAAGAACATAAGATTGATACGAAAAATACAGATGTACAAGGGTTCCAGGTATTGGCCTCTTCAGAAAAACAAAAAAAAACCCAAAAGACTCAAAGTTGCTCAACTAAGTAAGCTCACATTTGCACATAACCCATGAATTTTCCAATCAAATATAAAAAAAAAAAAAAGCAAATAATCATCCAACATATAAAAGGTATTCCTATATACAATCAGGAGAACAAATGCGCTGTACTCGTAATATTTTACAGGATACAGACACGCCACAATAATGAAATTTATAATACAAATGGCAATGACCACCTGTTATATTCTATAATGTTTACAGAAAGAGCAAATTGATTTACAAATATAAAACAGCTAACTCGGAAGATTCATGCCAAAATAATTCAAGGCAAATGTTGATGCAGAAATAATCAGTTATAGTAAAACCAAAATGCACTCTAAAACACTGTCTGTATAATAGGAGTATTTCTAAGAGCAACTTACAATATGAGCCATACACCTCCGACCAAAGGGATCGCACCCCAAATCAAACCACACACAAGGCCCACGATTTGTCGAGTCCAATGTAGAACATCCCCCAGTTGATCCTGAAGAAGAAATTAACAGCTCAACAATCAATAAAAGACATGCTCAAATAGACAAAAGGTAACCCCATACTCTGTTACCTATACATAAACACTCTAAAGAGTAACATTCGATTGATCAATACGGATAAACAAACAATCTAGCAATAGTAATTTCACCAGAGAATGGATTAACTAACTCATCAGTTCAATGTTATTTGGTACTAAAACCCAAAATCCCGTTTATTAAGATTAGATAAACCTTCATCAAGCCTACACATTGAGATTGACTATAACTTGGATCAACCATAATTTGACTGATTTGGTAAAGCTTCACAATCCTTATAATTAAGAATAACTAAATCAACCACACCAATTAGAATCAATTATACCTTACAAATAAATCTCATTAATTTGGAAAATTGGCGGAAACTCCAATAATCCCACTAAGATGGACTAACTCGGTAACTCCAATCTTGTACATAATCATTAATCAAACATATTGATCTCAAACTTAACTAACAAACACAGTTCTTAAACATCGAATTCATGCATTTATTATCTAAAAATTAAAGAATTTGAAAAAGAATAAATAATTTCATAGATAAAAAAGTAACCTTATCCCAGGAAACATCAGGATCAAACAATTTGCCCAATTTAAAAGGAGATGCGTGACCATTCTGATGCTGATGGGTCAATTTCGATGATTTCTTATCCTTCATCCTTGTAACTCAAATCGTAAAACCCAGAAATTAAAACAAAAATTAGGGTTTATGCGCAATAATCTGGGCAATTAAGGAAATAGTGAGGGTTTTGGGGAAATGGGTAAAATTTGATTGGTGAATATATGTAAGCTGACAACAATTGTAGGTGGGTTAAGCTTGGGATCTGAAAAAAGACATCGATGATGAAGATATGAATTATGTTGGTTGAATCGAAGTGTTTATATTTAATTAGGGTTTATCCTAGATGAGGAAAGCACGTGGTCAGATCAGAAATTTGTAGGTGTTTATGATCTGTAAATTCTGGATTCTGGGATTAATGTAAACTTAAACAAAGAGGAAGTTAGAGAGAGTAATAGAGTAGTGGTGTTGAGATGGGATTGATTGTTTTTTGGGTTTGAGGATGTTGGTGTAGATGATGGACTCACAATTTATCTTGGAAGAGTCCTACATATGTTAAACCATCAAGATTTGACAAACGATATCCTAACATACTCATTCAAGGAAAAGGAAGGGATCGAATACACATAATCAGGTTGGGATTTGCCTATCCGGCTATCTCCATATCTAAATGTTTAGTCCGTTACACCGAACTAGGTTAATCTGTGAGGTTTTTGTCTGTATAGGAATCTTTGTCTTACCTACTAAAAGGGGAAAATACATGGGTATATCTTGTGTTGGATCAATGACGCACATTGCAACAATTTTTAATTAAGAGAAAAAACCATCTACATAAACATTCCACAAAATTGTCATAAGAAAAGAAAGTTAACACAACATATTATCATCAAATGACTTTAAATTTCTGAGAGTCATATGAAAATAGGACCCTAATCGAACCTCAACTCTCACGGTTTTTTTGGTCCGATATTTGCGGGTTAGACACTTTGAGAGTGAGGGGGGAAGGGAGGAAGGGTAAGGGATTCCCCACCCTCAAAGTGTCACTAGTGGGGATTGAACCTCTAACCTCAAGGTTGGAAAGTATAATCCTTATCACTAGACCAAGCTTAGCTTGTAGTACAAAAATAGGAGAGGTGGAAATAATAATAATAATAATAATAATAATAATAATAATAAAAAAAAAATAATAATAATAATAACAATAATAATAATAATAATAATAATAACAATAATAATAATAAATAAATAAAATATATATTAAAAAAAAAAAAAGAGAAGTGGAAGTTATTTGGAGGTTATTGTATTAATAACTAAATAACTATGCACAAAATTATAGGATTGGAGTTTTGGGGTTATGTGCTCAGTATTTAGAAAAATAATTTGTGAAATTAATATATAGATGACAAATTGACAAACATCTAATTAATGAAAAGACTAAATAATTAATCCCCAATTATGTTTTGTAGACTTTTAGAATTTAGATTTTCTTGTACACTACTATTTGAGGAACAAAAAAGGAATTCTAAATACTAAGAAAAGGAACCATCTAATAATGAAAAAAGGAACCAAATCTAAATAAATAATCCCCAATTATGTTTTTAGAATTTCCTTGCACGGTACCGTTAGACTAAGAGTGGAGCAATTTCAATGGCAAGCTAATTGTCAAATAAGCTTGTCATGTCACATACATCTTTAAACTAATTATCTTTAATTTCTAGCTAGTTTGAGTCCCGAGTCCCAATAGCCAGCTATTAAAGCAACTCAAATAATAAGCTAAAGCAAATTAGTTTGTTTTGTCACATAAAATTTTAAGTTAATCTCTTTTATAATTAGTTTGTGCCCCAATAGTTAACTACTAGCATGTGATTAATATGAACCTTTATTATTTCTTAATTAGCATATCAAATTTAATTTTATCATATCAATATAATCCATCTTTCTCCTTAATTAAAACAAAGATATATATATATATATGTATATACTGGCAAGTTTTTTAGTCAATAATTAATTAGAAAAATCTTGCTAACAAACGAATTGAGGCGTTAAATTATTACTTAATATATTTTTAAAATAGTATTAAGTACTTAATATATGACAAAATCACGCATTGATAAGTATAATCAATGTTAATTTTATTTTAATATTTTCATATATAGTTTTCTTATCTAATACGAGTAAAAAAGACGGCAAATGAACATTGTATTATCTCTGGTACGGAGTACAATTTATCTTAATCATTGTCATACTATTAATTGGCTAATTTAATGAGCTTGAATTTGGCTGATTGAAGAACAATTGGAAGTCGAGTAATTGGATGGAATGAGTAGTACATCAATTTAAAAATTTGTAATTAAATATTGGGAATTTGGTTCAAGAACGGGCAATACAAGTTTATCTGGCAGATAAACAAATTTTTGTTAATATGGTGACATTTCTGTAAATATATTGAAAAAGCGTGGTTATTTATTCAGTACCTTTGTTGAACTGTCCAATTATTGTTTGCAACTTGCTTTTACTGTTTGGTAAGGAAATTACACATGTGCCCCTCAACTAGTACATGAAAAGACGCATGTACCCCTCTACTGTTTATATGGGGAATTAACTAGGTACAACTCTTCAAGAACAGGTCAAAAAGGTTAGAGCCTTTAGAGATACAAACTGTTTTTTCTTTTATTTTCCTATTTATTACCCCCATTTCTTATTGTTTGTAACAAATGGGTATTATAATATTTGTAAGACATAAAAAAAATTATTTATTACAAATAATAAAAAACGGAGATAGTATTTATTTATTTATTTATTTTTATTGGACTCCCTTCTAGTCTATAAAAATAAAACTTGTTAAGAGTTGTGTTACCTCTGTGTAAAGTGTAATCGGATAACTAAGGGCACTTTAGCTTCAATCAATTTAGTTTAGTTTAGTTCAATTCAGCTTCTAATTTTTTTCTCTCATAAAATATTCAGTTCAACTCTATTCAATTTAGTTAAGTAAATCTGAAAGTTGATCTAAAACAACCAATAAAAAAAGATGTGAGTTGAATATTGGTTGATAGATAAATTATTTTTTCTACTATTTACATTGTTAATTATCTTAATAGTTGCCATGAATCCCATGATATTAATTTGCAAATTTAAATGAATTTGAATGAATAAAGAAGGTTTTGTAACGGTATTATTCAAAAGCATTACACCGGTTGAAAAGATTGTTTTTAAAATTGGAAAGTTTGTAATAATGAGAACTGAGGAATAAGGAGATGTAGATGTTAGAAGTGAATCAATAATAATTTCTGCTTAATTGATTGACATGACAACTATCTAATTAATGAAAAAAGAATCAAAGCTAAACAAGTATGGAGTACCCCCAATTATTTTAATTTAGTTTGAATTTTGATTTTTTTTTAAAAAAATACTTATTTATTAATTTTTTATATGTATTTGGTATTAATGGAGCAACCAAGCAAAATTATCGGTAACCGATTAATTAAAATTGTTTCCTTCCCCTTTGACTCCGGTTAACAACAATCACTCCTTTGCAGTGGTGGAGGAAGGGAGGGGAAAAGGTTTCAATGGTGGTTGTGGGGTGCCCGATGGTGGTGAAGGAAATGCCTAGCTATGCGTGTATGTTTTTTTAATCAACCACATGTTGCCATTCCAATTAAGTAAGGGTCTATTCACATTTATTGAACTGAGCTGAACTAATTGGATTTGAACTGAACCGATTAGAGCTACACTGAACTGAATGGAGTTGAAATGAATATTTAATAAGAGAAGAAAATTAGAAGCTGAACTGAACTGATTGGAGTTGAACTGAACTGAATTGAACTGAAGTGAACATGTCTTAAGATGTTATAACAAGTTGGGACCAAAGAAAACGAATAACTCACAAGGATTATTTAAAAATAATACAATGTTGAGATTTTTTAAACTGAATGGGTAAAAATTGAATTTATTTTACCAATTTTTTTCCAAAAAAACAAATTGAGAAAATGAGGTTCATTTAAATTCAAAGTAATCATATAATTAATGAGTAACCATTGTGATGCAAATTAGCTACAAAGATAATGATGTTGTATGAATGAATGAGTGGCATAACTTAGCTTACCATTGGAGGTGCTTTATAAGTTTATTGTATTTTATTAATGAATATCTTTATTTAATACAGAGTACACCCGACAATCCTGACCTGACCTGTCACCTGTGACCCGAAAATTGACTCAAAATCATTGATCCGAACCCAACTCGAAATGGAGTTGACCCGAACGTGACCCGATGCCCTAACTTACCCGACTTGAAATTGACCAGAAACTCGAACTTGACCCGACCCGAAGTGACCCTACCTGATTTTAATCGGAATTTATTTACCCGAATCGACCCGACCAAAAGTAACTAGACTCTCGAAGTGAATAGGGTAAAACGATGAATTGCTCATTTTAGGGCTTCTTTCTTTGCTAAGTAATAGGTCCTCCCGTTAAAAAAAAATAAAAAATTATGGGTAATCACGATTATTTTTTTTAACAATTTTACTTTATTTTATTTCCATTTTTTTTAAAAAAATTGAATTTATTTTGGTGACTTGATCTAAAACTGACCAGATTTAAACTGACTCGACCAGAAAATTGGTCATAAAAATTAATCCGACTCGAACTTAATCCAAAATACCGATTCAAAACTTGAATTACCCGAACCAATTCTAATATTTGTTGACCCGAAGACCTAAACGAGCCGTTTGCCAAGCCACCAAGGTTGAATTATTACGGAGTCCTAGTACTCGTATAAGGTTTCTTAAAAAAGTAATAATAAGTCTAAACACACCCAAATATTTGCTGTTAATCACTACTATCCCATCCTCCTCCAGACTCATCTTCCATATGAATATACTTTTACAATAATTTTTCCCTCTCTATATATACTCATCATTCTTTCTCAGTCTTTCGATCCCAAAATTTTTTCTTTTTCTAATTGATCCTTTTTTTTTTTTTTAAATTAGGGTTTTCAATTTCAATCTTAATTTGATCACTTATTCCAATTCAATCAAACATGCCGAGCCCCAAGAAAAAGATGGGATTTTTCTCTTCGATGACTTCCAGCTTATCCATGTTCAGTAACGCCATGCATAGATCTGTCAATGGGTACTTTATTTAATTTTCTCTCTCCTCTTTTCGTCGCTTTTTTTGCCAATTTGTGTCTGTAATTCGACGCTTTTTTAAAGCAATTTTGTGAATTCTATGTGTTTTAATCGGTGTTGGAAGTTGGGGTTGATTACAATTTATGAATTAATCAAGTATCTTTGTTTATGATCATTGATTTATGCTCAATCTCTTAAGTACTGTATGAAATTTATGTGATCTATAGGTTTATAGGCTATGAAAATCTGGAAGTCGTAAACCCTGAGGGAGGTAAGGATGATGCTGAAGAAGAAGCACATAAAGGAAGATGGAAACAAGAGGTGTGTATCTTTTGCTAACTCATCCTATTGAGTTTTCCTAAATTTGACTTTTCGTATACATTCCATTATACTAAGCAGAATGGTGAAGCTTCAATTGGGCAAAAAATTAGCTTGGGTGCCTTAAGTTTGATTTTTCAAAATAAGGAAACTTCATAATAAAATCTTTCTAGTATATATTGCCAATTATATATGTCAGCTTTTGC